ATGGGGGGGGGACTACCATGAAAAAAAAAAAAGAACAAATCATTCTATTCAGTAAGAGAATGTAACTATATATCTATCCTAACCACTTTGAATACACAGATATAAAATGGACATTCATCTGTATACCTTTTTTTTTTTAAAGTTCCGTTATTTGAATATTATAGATGTGTTAACTCAGCAAAATATTCTAAGACTCCAGTAGTCCAGGAGAAAGGTTCTAGGAGATTTTCTTTTTCTTTTTCTTCTTTTTCTTCTTCTTCTTCTTTTTTTTTTTTTTTTTTTTTTTTTTTTTTTTCGGAACCAGGGATTGAACTCAGATCCTTGCATTTGCCAGTCAAGCGCTTATCCTACTGAGTCATCTCCCTGGCCCCTCTAGGAGATTTTCTTAACTATGTGACTATTTTGTTATTCTGAACTTTTTTCTTGTAGTACTTATGCTTTTAACTTTCAAGAACTCTTTCTTGATTTTTCCTTCTCAAGTATTCTTGTTCTTGTTTACAGGACTTCCCTGATATCACTTAATTTTTGTGATTAATAATATCATAAAAATTTTAATTTTCAAGTACTTGAAACAAAAGTTACTGCTAAGATAGAGCTTAGCAATATGCAGGGTTGCATTGCTATCAAGCTATATCTCATGTGTGCGTCACCACGCCCGGTTTTGGTGGCCTTTTTTAAATTTTTTTTTTTTTTTTTTTTTTTTGCGGAACCGGGGATTGAACTCAGGCACTTGGGCTTGCCAGGCAAGCACTTATTCTACGGAGCCATCTCCCTGGCCCCTAAAAAAATTGTTTTTGAAACAATGTCTTGCTAAGTTGCTTAGGTAAGACTCAAACTGGTGATCCTCTTATCTCAGTCTCCCTCAGTGCTGGGATTACAGGCATGTATCACTGGAACTACATTTCTCAGGCCTTTTTCATATATTATTATGATTTTTTCTTTTGGGACAGGGTTTCACTGCTTTCTTCATGCTGGGCTCCACATTTCCCTCAAATTGTACTTGAAAACAGAACGGATTCTAATAGTAGCTAGAAACAGATACTTTCAATGTCTTGTTTAGAGTCCGTCTTAGCCAACTCCAAAAGTTTATTGCACACGCTGCATATCTCCTAAATTACTGTAGGAAATTGTCTTGCCTATTATTTACTTGCTGCAGACACACTAAGCTTTTTGCTTTTTCACTCAGAAGTAGCAATTTTCTTACCATTTTCCACATGATAGACCTAGATTCTTGGCATGGTAATCAGTACAGCATTCCAGGAAGAAGAGAAGGTTGCAGTTAGATCTTTTGACACCTAATTTCCGAAGTCACACAATATCACTTCCATCATATTCTTTTGGTCAGGGCAAGTCACAGAGCCAGCTCCATTCACAGATTGGAAGTGTGGGCTCCACCTTTGCCTGAGAGAAGTGGCAAAGTCATATTGCAAAGTGATGAGAATGCCGGAGGTGGGAGGGACTGCTTATGGCTGCTGTGTGGCAACAAACCTGCCGAATCAAAGTAACTTCGATGACAATGAACAAAGACACTCTGAGATGTAAAATTTCTTGAAAATTTATCTTTTTTTCCAGAGGGTACGTACTTACAAAAAACAAGGGTATAAACCATGAAAGAGCAAAACCAGTGATCTGGGAACTAGGGGCTTCTATGAAAGTTGGAAAGCCAATATAATTCCTGAGATAGGGCTATGAGAGTCACATGTGGAAGAGGAGAATCAGAGACTCCAGGTGGTGTCTCCAAGATTGGATTAGGAAGACAATATAGGCCTGAGAGATTATTTAACAAGACAGAGAAAGGCATTTTCTGAACTTCTGAAAGGTATTTTCAAAATTTATCCAGCTGTTCAAGAAAAAAGCGATAAAAATTGAGGAAAACATTAACATTAACAGGAAAAATGTCAAGAAGGGGCATGTAAGCATGTATACTTCTTGGCAGGGTGTAAAAAAATGCCAGCATACCCATAAATTTAAAAACTATAAAGTTGTTTTTTAAAAACTATGTTACTTTACTGGGATGCTGGAGGAAGGAAAGTAGGCAATCAGAAAGCTAAAATTCCTATGTGGAGCACTGGGCCTGGTGGTTCACACCTGTAATCCCAGCCCTTGGGAGGCTGAGGCAGGAGGATTTCTGGGAGTTCGAGGCCAGCCTGCCCTACATAGTGAGTTCAAGGCCAGTGTGGACTACAGAATGAAATCTTGTCTGAAAAAAACAAAACAACAATAAAAAAAATTCTCATATGGAAATTCAGTATTTTCTTTTTTTTTTTTTTCCAGTATCAGGGATTGAACTCAGGACCCTGCTTCAGTCTTTTCAATTGTATTATATACAATTGAAAAAATGTCAGTGTATTATACAGAATATAGTAGTGTTTAGAAATTAATGTCTCTAGGCAGTAAAATGTCAGGTGGATATTATAGAAGGAACTAATCTTTTGTTATAAACTTTTATTGCTCTTGATCTTTAAAACTAAGATATAGCATGACATAGAAAAGAAGTTATTCAAAAAATATGCTCAGAAAAAATTGGCTGTGAATCAAAGGATAAATTATTATCAGTCAGATTCAAGACAATTGTTAGGGTAAAAATATCCTGAAAAGAATTAAGGCTAACCTAGATAATTAAAAATTTTTAAATGTTTCATTTTGGGTGCAAAGTACCCTTTGAAGCTTTAGGATTAAAATTGACTAATATGACTTTCAATTCTGAAAGTATTATAGTTTACTGGGTAGGCATAGGGTACGCAAGTATTTCTAATACACCATGAATACTGGGATTGTAGGAATGTATATAAAGCGATCTGAAACTACTGAGGAAAGAGACACCATCATTGTTCGGGGTGGAGTTGCAGGTGGTTCTCCAGAAGAGCTGATGTTAGAAATGTGTGTTGAGGGATACGAGGGTTTTGCTGCCTACTATATTGGGAGAGCATTCTAGGCTGACAAACCCACCAGGAAGAAGCTCAGTGTGTTCAGGAAAGGGTGATCCATTGGTGTGGCTTTAAGCAGGGTGTGAAGTAGAGAATGACCAGAGATGAGCCTGGTAGAGTGGAGCAGGACTAAGCAGGCTTGGAGCTCTTTCAAGTGCAGAACCCTGTGTGGCTACACAGGTGCCACATCAGGAAGACAGCCCTCCTTCTCAGAGTAAGAAGCTCAATGAGGAGGAAGAGGTCTGGATTTGAGGCAGATCCTGATCCCAGTGGGAGAGGGGCGGAGGAGCCTAGGGTACAAGGCCCCGTTGGAGGGAAAAGCAGGGAGTTGGTGAGCTCTGGGGATGGGGCAGATGGAGGGTGGAAAGGAGGGAGAGCCGGCAGCTCACGCTTGCTAAGCTTCATCAAGGCATGCTGGCAAGAGTCTCTTTCCGGAGAGAAATCCATGGGTAGAGGGCAGTGGCAGCGGTTTGCAGCAGTTCGCTGCAGCGTGAAGGGAGGGGGCACCCACCCTGAGTTATATTGCTGAGGGCTTTGGGTAAGGATGGCTCCCTCACAAAGAGTGTCTCGCCACCTTCAGCAGGCACTGGCTGATGGGGCAGGAGGGACCAAAAGAGTGCTGTGGGAGCGGGGAAGCCCCAAGTGCTGTGGGGCTCTCTAGGGAGGAGGGAGGTGGACCGTGAAAGTGGGGGTGAGGGGAAGTGAGGGGGGAGGGCTACGAGGCTACTGTGAAAGGAATGGGCTTTGAGGCTTAGGAGCTCTTGCCAGGAGGAGCTGGTAGGGTGGGGTCGGGTCTGACCAGAGGTCTTACTCAAAGAGCATAGCAGCAAAAGCTGGTGCAGCCTCTGCTGGGAGGAGCAGGACAGTCATGGGATTATTATTAAGACCAGGATAAGTAGGTATGTGTGGCAGAGGAGTCCACGGCGTGAAGCTCTTTTCTCTGGAGAGAGATGCGATTCTGGTGTTGCACGGGGGAATGAGTATATCAGAGCGACCCTTTCCTGAGAGGAAAACGGAGTCCAGAATTTGGCGGTGGCCGGCGAATCGAGAGTGCTGTGAATTCTCCTTGCAAACAAAGGGGGTCGCCCGTGAGCAGCGAGGAGCTTTGCTTCTCCAAGCCCGGAGGTGGAGCAGCCGCAAAGGTTCCCTTGAAAACAAGGGGTTCCCGGGGGATTCCTGGTTCTCCGAGGCCCCTCTGCAATTCGGAGACCTCGTTGGCCCCATAGGTCCATTCAGGCTTTCGGAGACTTGACTAAGAGGACGTGGTGATGCAGAGGTTTGACCAATGTCCGCAGGGCACACCGGGGCCGGGCCCGGCCCGGCCCTGGGGTCCTGGAGCGTCGCCTCGCAGCCCAGCAGGCCTCTCCCCTGGTGCCCTTACGTTTGTCTCTGGAGAGGAGCTACCTGGATTTCCTAGTTCCTCCTCCTCCTCCTCCACCTCCTCCTCCTCCTCCTCCTCCTCCTCCTCC